TTTCTTATTCTATCAAGAATACACATATATACGAGCAGGGGTTTGTGATTGTATATATGAATGTATATATGATCGTGTGTATAAATTATGATATGTCTTTCTATAAAATTTAGGTTTGTTAAGTTTTAAATTTATGCCCTACTGATGGACTGCAGCGTCTTCCTGATAACACTAGTATTATTAGTAATTAAAAAACTGCAGCTGTCAACCTGTCTGCCATGAGTGGCAATTATAGCAAATATATTTCTTATGAGGCAATCTATGGAGGAAGTTTATGTTCAGCTGTGAACTTTGATGATCTGTAATGTATGAAATGTATTCAATAAGACTTAACCTCGAATACTTACAAGATTGAAATGTCTGCCTCTAAAATCGAAATAACTGGCTTCTATTAATCTCAAGGGTTACTTGCATGCTATTAAGATATGATATTATTAAGATAAGAAATTTTTTACGTGGTAGAGCTACGCTGAAGCTATATTATGGTTGTAGCATTAATAGGTCGGCTCGACCGAAACGACTCGAAAACCTACGTAAAATAGCGGCTTAGTACTGCTGTCTTTCGTATGGTGAGTGTAGAGAACCGGAGATCCGTTTTACTGGGATTGAGGCATTCCATCTTAGTCCTCAGGGGTGACAAGGGGTGTGCTCGTTTGTCACCCTTATCCTATAAAAATTTACTTATAAAGTTTTTGTGTCTGTCTGTCTCTCCGGGCTAATCTCCGGAGTAGCTAAACCGAAAGTGATGAAACTTCACAAACTGATATAGAACAATTCCAGGAGTTATCAAGGCATATTTTATCCGTAAATATTGGAGACTTTTTTAAATGGAAAATATTTGATAAAATAAAAATGGTCGTCAATGATTATCTTAAATAAAAATCATGCCATAAATGACATTGCTATGGATACTGCTCAGCCCGGGCGCGTTACAAATAAACGTGATAAACCGCCGCAGTTGAATTATGATGACATAACGAATAAGTCGGCTTAACCCGGACAGAACCACGCTTGAACAGAATAACTGATAGTCTAAAATAGAAGTATAATGCTGCTGTGTATCGCATGATGAATAACGAGGAACGGAATCCCTTTTTACTTAAAACATGGTATTCCGTCATAATCCACGAGTAGTTTTGATTTTTAATCATATTTATCGTAAGTTGGGGTAACTTATCAAAAAAAAAAAAATAATATACGATTTGCTTATTCGTTTTTTCGTATTTAGTGTTAAGACTTGGCAAGTTCCTTTCGAGGTCTATTTTGCATTTTTATTGTAGTTATTTGATCTCGCGCCTTTTTACTTTTCATTATATATTTGCGAGGAAATAAATTTTACTATTAAGGCGACACCGTGAAAAAATGCACCTCCTTTCATCGAATAGTATAGGACTATGACACCACTAACGAAAGTGGGATTTTGATATAGGTAAATTCATGTCTTTATCTTGAATTTGATTGCTCAAAATCACGATTGTATAATTTTGACTCGATCATAATTATTTGCGAAAACACCTCTAAAAATCACTGTATTTGAAATTACAACGAAATTATTTGATCTATATGCTCGGGAATCACTCAAATATATTCATAACATCAATATTCATAATTTACTTGCTCATTATTTTGATAACTTAAATCAATAATTTTTTTAAAAATATTTTAAGATTCTGACAATTTCTAAGCGCTTTTAATCTTCGCGGGCGCTACGCAATTTTAGACCTTATGACGGCGTTTCTTCAAGTTTTTGTAGAAATTATGTATTCACTCGTATCAGTACGGCGATAGCGTTTTCGATGTGTCGTCTTAATATGTTTTGGTTGGTTAAGAACCGGGACGAAGCTCTGGAGGTAAAGCTACTAAAAATATATATATACTAGCTTGCCAGGCAGACGTTGTTCTGCCCTTTTCGACGACCCTTTGTCATGTCCTATTAAAAATCCTTAAATTCGCAAAAAAAATTGTGGGACACTCATGGGCAAAAAAACTATGCTATCTCTCAAGTTAGACCAAACTGCACACGATGTGCAAATTTGAATAAAATCGGTTAGGTAGTTTGAGAGTCCATCGCGGACAAACAACGTGACACGTAATTTATATATAATAAGATTAAAGAGTTTTGAAAAACGAAGCACTAATAATTAAAAAGCAGGAATAATTTCACTGTATTATCTTCACTATAATATGAACTTAATTTATACTGCAGTAATCAAAATATAATAATCAAATAATAATATACATAATCAAAGTAAGTTCGATGGCCTCGTCGGAGGGTGTCCCGCCACCAATGAGGGGGCCGCAGAAGTGAATGGATGGTGGGGGCCGGATTGGGTGATTACGGGGCTGAGGAGATGGAAAAATCAAAATATTATTCCTGTAATTTTGACAAAATATGTCATCACCAACGTATTGCAAAAATGTAAATTGCTTTATTGAGACCTTTTTGTTTTTTATAGGAACCGTTTCAAACGTGGCATTGACGCATGCGCAGTACGGGTATGTAAATGTGCTTGAAAGCGTATGTATTGTGACTGTCAAATTATATACAAATATAATTTGGAATAAAATAATATTGCGAATATGAATTGAAATGTAAGCTATCCTATCTCTCAAGTTGGACCAAACTGCACACGTTGTGCAAATTTGATCAAAATCGGTGAAGTAGTTTAGGAGTCCATCGCGGACAAACAACGTGACACATACTTTATATATACATACATACATACATATATAAACACTCACGCCTGTCACCCAGAGGAGTAGGCAGAGACTACGGACTTCCATTTGGCACGATCCTGACATACCTCTTTCGCCTCCTTAACATCCATATGTCTACACATACATACTTGTCGGTTAAGGGTACTTCTAACGTGGCCCATTTTCAAAATATCGCCAATTTGGTCGATAAACTTTTTTCTAGGGCGTCCCTTGCTGACTCGGCCATTCACATCTGTCATATAAATTTGCTTTGTCACTCTTTCCTCATTCATTCTTTCTACATGACCAAACCAAATATATATATATATATATATATATATATATATATATATATATATATATATAAATTAATTCTTTTTAAGTAAAGGAAACATTTTCTTTTTATATGAAGTATTAGCTCACCACACATTTTAGAGATTATTAATGAAATGCATGTCGATTTTCCTTATAATCTATAGATTACCATAGCAATATTAGTTTTACTACATCTAAACGGAGTACTGAGAAATCAACAATTAAAACATGCGTCTAACAAGAGCCCTAAAACACAGTGAGAGCAATTTTCTAGTTCTAGTTTTCACCGGTATTATAAGTTAAAATAGTGCACTATTGAATAATAATAGTACATACAAAGCTACGTTGTAGATATATTCAGCATTTGTAGGTAAATTAGGAACAACAAAAAAATATTTTCACTATTTCCAGCAAATTAAAGTACCTGTCTGTGCACAAATGTCCTACGGATTCTATTTTTAGTATGTATTGATTGATTGCTGGTGTACATTCAAAATACCATTAAAGAAATATGATTAAAGCCATGGTGACTAAGGGTTAATATGTCTATTTAATTTTATAGCTAGCCGCCCGCATCGGCTTCGCCCAGGTTGAACAATTATTTATATAGATATAATATATTTCAGATTAAGCTTAGTAGATATAATTTGTAGTTATAGTAGATTTATTTTAAAGCTTCTTTATATACCACATTTCTGTTCCACTTTCCTGAGGCTTTAATATAAATTGATTCTACGCATTTCCTGACCTAGAGAGACTAACATATAATTGTCCGTGAGTAAAATAATATCCCCTTAAGTCAAGTCCAATATATTTGTACTCGTATGTTTGACCTTGGGATTTGCTGACAGTGGTGGCGAAATTTTTTTTATTGGAAACTAATTACTTAAATTGGAAAGGTAGATCCACAGGGATCATCGGAATTCGGGGAATATAAGCCAATTGACCTGCCACTGGTCCTCAAAATCAAATTATTTCGTAGCGTTTTTACTTGAAGTTGCACAGCTTAGGCGGATTCAGGTTTCGCAATAAAATTATTGTAATACCGACTTTAATTTTTAGGGTATGAGACCAGAGGAGGTTGCAGAGGAGGTTGAAGTGAGTTAAAGAATTCCCGTGGGTAATGCACAGCGTCTTCTGTATCTAATACAGTATCAACAGATTTGTATATACTTTTGATTACTTGGTATTCTTTCTAATATTTGTTCATTTACATGATCAACAGAAGAATTTCTCAGAAAATCTATTGCCCCCTTGCACATACATCTTTTTTAGAAATTGCTGGGTAAACATTTAGAATCAAATCATTGAGACTTAAAATAGACTTTTTCTAACTTATTCATTTTAATACAGCCATCTTCTTCAGGTATTTTCCCATCACGTACTTGTGATAGAAAACTCTCGAAATGTGTATTACCTCTTCTAAGTGCTCTCATGTTTGTTCTTAAGGTGGTTGATTGTACAGAGTTCCATAAAGGAGATGCAAATGTTCCTCTAGGCACAACAGGAAGAGTTTAACGAAAGTCACCGGTAAACATGAAGGTGACGCCTCCCATAATTTATATGAACTTCTTAGGTCTTTAAGAGTTCTTCCCTTATTATGAAACAGACATCTGAAGATATTCGCCCAGCGACCCGTTTTTTCGTATGGTATGTTCCATTCGGATTTTTTCTGGAGAGAGACAGGCAGTTTAAATGTGGAATGGGCAGTTTTTCCACCACTAAATTTAGTCGCGGCCATATCTGAAGAATACATTCTCATAAAATTTTCTAACATCATTCGTTTTTCGGGTAGATGTGAAAAAAGTAACAACTAAATTTTGTGTATCTTCATTCTTCTATTTAAATTATTAATTGTGTACACCACTTAATATTTATTAATTATCTACTAAAATATCATATATGCAATAAATTAAATATCTGCCACAAGTTGCTATTACTTTTCTTACAAGCTTCATGTTGAGCACAACACTTAAGAACATCTCAGTATGGAAAACATATCTGAAGTCCCTAAAACACAAGCAGCACTAGAGAAGACACTTAACAAGAGGTTAGATAAGTTTGAAGCGAGACGAGAGGGGTCATCAAAGGAGTTGAGCGTGAAAGACCTTGGGTCTTCTTCTGACTACATCAACTTCAACAATTTTGTTTATTCAACATTTACATTACTGCGGCAGCAAATTAATCAACTAATTGTTGATGTTGATGCCATTGAAAGTAGACACAGAAAGAAGTTTCTGCTGTTAGGAGGAGTGGTCGAGAATAGCAACGAGAATGTACGCGAATTAGTAGCTTCAGTCATCTCAAAGAACCTTGGTATCAACAATTGTTCCGATCAATCGCTGCACGTATGTTATCGTCTTGGCAGAATATCTAATGGCAGTTCTCGTCCAATTCTCATAAAATTTAATCTTCATTACGACGAGAAGTATGGGCCAAAAAAGTTTTGCTCAAGAGTAGCCCATATGTAACATAACATAACATAAACACTCACGCCTGTCACCCAGAGGGGTAGGCAGAGACTACGGACTTCCATTTGGCACGATCCTGACATACCTCTTTCGCCTCCTTTACATCCATATATCTACGCATACATGCTCGTCGGTTAAGGGTACTTCTAACGTGGCCCCTTTTCAAAATATCGCCAATTTGGTCGATAAACTTTTTTCTAGGGCGTCCCTTCCCGACTCGGCCGTTCACATCTGCCATATAAATTTGCTTTGTCACTCTTTCCTCATTCATTCTTTCTACATGACCAAACCACCGAAGCATTCCTTTCTTAATCCTGGTCACAACATCATCTTGCATACCACATTTATCTCTTATCACGCAATTTCTCACCCTGTCATTCAGATTCAACCCTAGCATACTCTTTAAAGACCGCATTTCTACAGCATTTATTCTACTTTCATGCTTCTTCTGCCACACCCAGCTTTCACTACCATACATTAAAGTAGGGACTAACACAGCATTATGAATTACCATACGTGCCTTTTTTGACATATTCTGGTTCTTCACAATAGAGTGTAGTGCCCCATTCACTCTATTCCCTGCATTTACTCGTCGTTCTATATCCCTATCATATCTACCATCCCTGCTAAATACATATCCCAAATACACAAACTCATCCACTTACTCAATTAACTCTCCTTCTATTCTTATTTCACATACCGTTTTGTTTTCTTCTCTTTCAAAAACCATAACTTTCGTCTTACTTGCGTTCACTTTCATTCCCCTTTCTTTTAATTCCCAGTTCATTAATGTAACCACCATTTGCAACATTAGCCCATATGTATTGTTAGAATATCTAACACAAATAAGGCAGTCTTTATTCTTAGAGGCTCGCAGGCACTTCGGCATTAGGAATGTGTGGACCTTGGACGGGGTGATAAATGTCAAGCTACCTACAGGATCCCGTTCCAAAGTGTTTAAAACAAATGACCTGAAGAAGCTGACAACTCAACCACAAAACTTAAGTTGAACGGGCTACCTTGCTTCCAACATCAGATATCATTGCCAAAAAAAGAAGGATTTAAATCCAGGACAACAACTACTTTAAAGCGTGCAGTCAGTATGAAACTGTGATTTATCATAACTGTTTCCTAGTCTGTACATAATTACATTGCACTCTACGATCATCATAATTCTTACTGTATTTATAACTTCTTCTATTTAATTTTATGATTTCGGTGTTCATATTATGCTTAATTTGATTAAAAGATCAAGGGAGTTAGGCATAGAAGTGCATTAAGAGCCGCTCCAGATGATGATCGCATAGTTCCAATTGCCATTAGGCAGGCAGTCCTTTGTATACTATTAAGTCTGTCCGCAGTCGTCTTCTGGTTGGCCTTGTTGTACCAAATAGTGGAGGCGTAGGTGAGAATCGGTCTCACTATGCTGCTGTACAGCCATAGGACCATACTGGGACTTAAGACCAAACGACTGCACGTACCTAAAGCAATTTTTGCCTTATGGCATACGATGCTAAGGTGAAAGTTCCACGCTAGTTTTTGGTCGATTGTTACGCCAAGTACTTGACTTCAGAGAAAATGGTACTCTTTTGCCATTGAGTTTTGGTGGGACTAATTTGTTCAATCATCTCCTTTTGGCAAAGGGTATTACAACAGTTTAAACAGCATTAACTGATAAACAATTATCCCCACACCAGTTATTTATGGTGTTTAGAACTCTTTGTATGATTGACGATAAAGTACTTTGGCAAAAGCCCCTCGCAATGATAACAAGGTCATCAGCATAACCCAGTGTATCAATGCATAAGTCTACTATCTTGAGCAATAGTTGGTCAACCACAAAAGTTCAAAGAAGGGGTGACAAAACACCTCCTTGTGGGCAGCCTCTTGTATTTGCAACCTCAATCCAAGTTTGAAACAGCACTAATTTTGCCTTTCTGTTTGGGAGCGTCAACTTTACCCATCTGATCATTGTGGGGTCAACGTTTTTAGATGTCAGGTCCCCAATCAGCAGTGACGAGGGGCTACTGTCGAAGGCGCCTTCAATATCTATAAAGGCACAAAGAGCTATTTCTTTATCGTCCAGTTCTTTTTCGACCCTGTTAATAACACTGATCAAGGCTGTGTCCGTAGATTTGCCTCTGCGGTAAGCATTCTGGTTGTAATGTTTGGGCCTGGTAGGTAGAGCTACATCACTTATATATCTATATATGACTTTTTCCAATGTCTTAAGAAGAAGAAAAAATAGGCTTATAGGTCTAAAGGACTTTAATAAAACATAGCCTTCTTCATAACTTTCTACCAGCCTTAGGTATAAATAGAACATTGGCAATTGTCCATCATTCTGGAATATATCGGCATGCAAAACCTGCTCTGAAGATTTTCGTCAGATAGGGACAAAGGATATTAATACCCCTCTGTAGTCGGATGGGAATTATTCAATCCTGCCCGCCTGTTTTAAATGGTTTATAGGAGTCAACAGCTTACAGCACCAGATTTGGCCTTATTATCTTTGCAGCCCTACATCATCCTTATTACAAGGCCTTCGTAGGGCTCTGTAAGAATTCAAGGCAGAAGTCTTATGTGACCCTGGGAAATGGGTTGACGCTAGTAACTCCAATATTTCTGTTTTACCATTAGTGAAGCTACAATCAAGCTTTTTAAGAAGCCTGATCTGATTAGGTTTAGCTTTCGATAGCATTTCGTGTATTCTTGCACTGCGTGGCAAAGATTCAACTTACTCACATAGCTTCTTCCACGATGCTCTCTTGGCTTCCTAATTTCTTTATTATACTGAGCTAGGGCTGCACTGTAAATATCCCACTCTTTGGTTTTTTTAGCCCTATAAATAGTTTCCTGGTGGAAAATTTTGTGTAAAAATTAGTGAAATTCAATCTGCAAAATTTTCATACAATTAAAAGATAATTAGTAAAGTTACAATCTTATAAATAAGTTATAGATATATATTACAAAGTAAAGTTTAAGCCTTAATACGTCGATAAATTTATTTTATAGAATAAGGGTGACAAACAAGGTTCCTTGAATAAGAATCAAAATACAGATGCGTTGTCAACCTCAAGGGCTCGCTGTCAGTAAAGTGTCTCCGGTCCTCTACACTCACCACAATAAATAACAGTGAGCTGTTTAATTATAAAGTATTTTAACTATAATTTGAAAAAAAAATGTATAATTAAAATGACGTTTATTGGCAGTTCTGCCCTTATGTGTGTTTACATGACAATTTTTTACACCGATGGGTACGTAAATCAGCATTTTAAATGGCAATCATCAACTTTATTGATGCCAACGTTTGTCGAAAGTGAGATGCTCACGTACGCGGTGAGCGATTAATCCCCGAGCTATCACCTCGCTCCATAAAACTTATGCTACAAGTCCACCGCTGAACGCATACCTAGGTGTAAATTGATATAGAAATGTTTTATTGTAACAGTATTTTTTGTAAATTTTGTCTTATTTATTGATATTTTTACTACTATACTTATTTGACGTTTTTATATACTTTATCTAACCTACATAAGTTATCTTTTACATTAACAGTATTATAAGGTCACCTATTGGACATAGGACTTTTTAAGAATGTGCCATCTAGTGAGCATAACTTGAAAGATGTACTACTCACACTAGGTAGTAGGTCTATTTCAACAAAAATAGTCCACTGTAAAAAAATACATAAGCTTACAATAGGCGTTTGAATGGAGGGGGTGGCTAGCCACGCCTCGACATGGACAATAGCTGGTCGCAAGAATATCAACCCACGCATCTGGCCAAGCAAACGCATTCAAATTTCGTATTAGATCTAAATAAAATGTATAATAAATAATATTAAATATTTATACGGCTAGGAGTGAAGGTGCATTTTTTATAGTTAAAGAATGACAAACGAGCACACAGTCCACCTAATGGTAAGTGGATACTGTGGCCTATAGACATCTACATTTATCCTCAATAAAGAATCAAAATGCAGATGCGTTATCACCCATGAGGAATAAGACGAAATGCCTCGTTTCTAGTAAAAGGGGTCTCCGGTTCTTTACACTCATCATGCAAAACACAGCAGCAATAAGCTACTATTTCACGCTGGCTGGTTGTTTTAGGAGAAGGAAATGCCCGTCGGGCTGCTTTATGTATGTGCCAAACTTCATATGTCATCGATATATTTTTCATTTTTCAGACGTGCCGATTTTCCCACGATACGATGTTTTCCTTCACAAGATTATGGGCAAAGCCGCGAGATAGCTAGTTCACTTCCTAGTGCGAAGTTATTGTAATGGGTCCGATTTTGCAAATTGGAAACTTTAACATCGACGTTTCAAGGTCTTTAGAGTCGAATAGTATGGGTTTTAAGAGGATGTCCGTGTGTGCACATGTACGTATGTATGTATGTTCAGATTTAATTTTCGCCTCGTGTATCCTGAGAACAAAGAGTGATATTGACATGGGACCAGTTTCATTTAACGCATAATTATGTAACTCATTAAATTTTGAGCAAAATCGGTCAAGTCGTTTTTTGTGCCGAATGAAAAATTGTATAAAATATTAAAACATGTGATATTTTTTTATTCTTTCCACTGGGAAGTTAGTCATGTGAAACTTTTGGGTCGCACCTAGACCGCTTTATTTATATAATGAATACCGTTAGACATTTGGTGTTTATGGTTTTAATGACTTTGGATATCACAACAGTAACAAACAAGTGATGTTGCAAACAAATTTTCTGCCTGTGGAGGGTAAAAAATTCAGTCACTACTTTGCCTAGTTACCGTAAGCATAGACGATGGTGGTGAATAAGATGTTTCTTAGTTAGGTATATCGATATTTATGAATTTATAAAAAGAGAAAAAATATTCTTGGGTCGTTAATAAAGACTTCTTCCCCTTCATTGTTGTTAGCTTTTATAAAACTGCATCTGCAGGCCTATGCTGGTGCAACGTTGGCTGCAGGTGTCCATGGACCGCAGCGGTCACTTACTTTCGGGTAGG